GGTCATCAAATATTCCAAATCGACTTGAAATTGAACGTAATTATTCAAAAGATTATGAAATAAGAAAACAAGAAATACAAAATGAAATATTAAAAGTAACAACACTTATTGTATGTATTGATTACTTTTAAAAAACAAAAGAATTTATAAATATTTATATCATAGGAACCACCATATGTTATGTTAAGTAAAGAAATCTATATACATATATTTATATTTACATAAGAAATTTAAAAAAAAATCTTTTAAAATATATTCAAAATTTCTTTAGATCCAAATGGAACAAATTCAACACAAAAATTTGTTGGTTTTTGTATTGATATTTTACTTGATTTAGCTGAACGACTTAATTTTACATTTGAAATTGAAATAGTTAGTGATAAAACATTTGGTAAAAAGAATGACAAAGGAGAATGGTCTGGTATTATCGGAGAATTAGTTCATCGTGTAAATAATCATTTTCTTTTTTTTTTTGGTTTTGACAAAATTAATTTTATTTTTTTTTTTTTTGTTTTTTTAATATTAGAGAGCCGATTTAGGTCTAGCTGGATTAACAATCACGTCTCAACGTGAACAGGTAATGCATTTTCATTTTCATATTGAATTGGAAATTATTCGATATGAGAAATATTAAAGAAAAAAAAAATCATTAATACGAACAGCTATGTAGAAAGAAAAGCTCTTTTAATTAGAAGACTAGAAAATGACTTGATCTTGAAAAATTTATACTCCTGGGAATAATAGAAAACTTGGAGTTTCGATATCAGACCTCCGAATGGGACGAAGAATTCGTCTTATGGAATAACTCGTTTTGTTCCATTCCATTCCATGGGACAAATCATATTATAAAAAGACTTTCTGAAAATTTAGAGTCAATTTTTGTGGCTTCTTCATTCAATTACTGTAGCTCCCTTTATATGTGTATGTTTAGATCAATTTGTTAACTTGCTTCTTCCGTGTATACAGTTTCCACTGATCGCCGCTTTTGTTTTTTGCTTTTCCAGGACATTAGAACATAGTCGAGATTGTTAGGAAAAGTACGGATTGTCTAAAGAGCAGAATTTGAAGCGATATCACACTCAGCTTAAAAAACAAATCTTTGAAAATAGGAGTACAGATTGAATTCATGTAGAAAATATAGGACTCGACGTTCTCTTAATAGATGATCTTGTAAATTTTCATAATAAATTTTTCTAAAGAGTTTTAATGATATTTAATTATATTCTAGGCAATTGATTTTACAAAACCATTTTTAACACTTGGTATAAGTATTCTATTTAAAAAAGCTAAACGTGACAAACCAAAATTATTTGGTTTTTTCTCACCATTCAATCGTGATGTATGGATTTATCTAATTGCTGCTTATTTTGGTAAATTTATTGATTTTAATCAAATTAAACTTTTTTTTGTTTTTAAATATTTTATTAGCTGTTAGTCTTTCACTTTATTTGGTTGCAAGATTATCACCATATGAATGGCGTAGTCCATATCCATGTCGAAGAACTCATGATGAATTAGAAAATCAATTTACATTATTTAATTCATTTTGGTTTCTTATTTGTAATATAATGCATCAAGGTTAAATTTAACAAAAAAAATAAAATATTTCTTATTCAAATATTTCTATTTAAATAATAGGTACAGATTTAAATCCTATAGCAACATCAACACGTATGATTAGTTGTCTTTGGGGATTTTGTACATTAATACTTGTTTCATCTTATACAGCTAATCTTGGTTAGTAGAAAAGAATATTATAGAACATTGTTTTGTTTTCATAAAAAATATTTTCATATGATTAGCCGCTTTTTTAACTGTACAACGTATGCAAACACCTATTGAAAATGTTGAAGATTTAGCATCACAAACAACAATTGCTTATGGTGTACAACGTGGTGGTTCAACAGAAAATTTTTTTCGTGTATAAATATAATTAATTCAATTTTAAAATATAATGTATTCGATTGATTTTCAAATAAAATTATGATAGAAACATCAGACAAAAAAAAGACTTCGAATCATTGAAATTTGATTGATCAATGATTTTCGAATATAATATTCTAAAGTTACTTCTCATCTACATACTTCAATTGTAACATTCGAGAGTTTTTGAGATCTTCAATTTCATTCAAGAAGTTTTTCTATAATCTTAAGTCTTCTCTCTATAAATGATATAAACTATGATATTCCTTCTATCAAAAATTTATTTAAAAATTAATAGAGTACATTTATATTTTAAAATAAAATAGTAAAATTCTGATTAATTCTTGTTCTTTTTTTGTTTGAATAGGAATCAAAAATTGCTACATATGAACGTATGTGGAATTATATATTAGCTAATCAAGCTAGTGTTACTGTAGCATCAAGTACAGAAGGTATTAAGAGAGTTTTAGCAGGCGATTATGCTTTTCTTATTGAGTATGTTTTTTGTTAATTAATATTTAATAATTTAATGAAATTATTATAGATCAACAACAAGTGAATATAATATAATGAGAAATTGTGAATTAACATCAATTGGTGGTTTACTTGATTCAAAAGGTTATGGATTTGGTGTACCACAAAGTAAAAATAAAATATTCAAAATATGAATAAAATAATAAAGAAAAAAAAAAAAATTTTTTTTTATTATATTGTATTAGATTCACCATATCGTGATATATTAAGTGATACAATATTAAAATTACAAGATGAAGGTGTTATACAAAAATATTATAATCGATGGTGGAAAGAAGCTGCAAATTTAAAATGTGATGAAGAAGATAAAAGAAAAGAAATAGCATCAGCATTAGGTTTTCCTAATATTGGTGGTGTATTTGTTATACTTGCTGGTGGTTTAGTTCTATCAATGATTGTTGCTGCAGTTGAATTTCATATTAAAATACGTCGTAGAAATAAAGGAAAGGTATAATTAATTATTTCAAATAATTTATTTATCATAGAAAATATATTTCAGTTGTTTTTTTTTTTTTCTTTTTACAATTAATGTTTAACAGAATAAATATATGACATAGAGAATGGACATTTTGGGGCAGATAAATTATAAAAGTGAAGTTATATTTTGTCGAAAATCAATTCTCCTTTTTTATGGAAACAATCAGTTAGGTGAACGATCAACATTGAATGCAACTGTACCAGATTAATGTTCGTCAAAAACTGGATTTATGAGTATAATTAATAGATCTTAGAATAATTATTGTCTATAAAATTATTGAAATGTTTTGAAATACATGCCGAAATGCGCTCGTATTTTACGATTTTCATTCTTCATGTAGATAATTTCATCAAAAATAATAGCAGATTCGTAATCTCCATACAAAACTGCATCTATAGACATGTCATTTGAATCATTCTGACGAAAAAAAATTTTTTCAAAAACCTTGCGTGATGTGTATCTTTTTAGGCATAAAATGCGCATTCCTCAGGATTTTTGAAAAACATTTTTTCCGTCAAAAAGATTCAAATGACATGTCAATAAATGCAGTTTTTTATGGAGATTACGAATCTGCTATTATTTCTCGTGAAATTATCTACATGAAGAATATAAATCGTAAAATACGAGCGCATTTCGGCATGTATTTCAAGACATTTCATAGGCAATAATTGTTCTAAGATCTATTAATTATACTCATAAATCCAGTTTTTGACGAGCATTAATCTGGTATATAAAACTCTTTGATATCATTTATACTTTAAGTTCTAGAGGGGGAGCGTAATGGTTATGTTACATCCTGTAGACTAATTTCATGAAATCCAAAAATTTCAGTGACTCTATTAAAAAAAGACTATTTATATACAGTTAACTTATAAAATGAGACAAAAATCCTTTGACAATATGAGCAATGTCATTAGTTTAATGTTCTATAACATCATCGATAGTGTTCATTGATTTTTGCATCACATATATAGTTTATTTTATACTTTGCGAACCCATATCTGTGCGATCAATTGCTTGTTTCCCGTTTTTATAATCGTCTAATAGATTTTTCTTATGAGAAAACCATTCTAAATGGTATCTTCAATGTAAGATGAAATACTCTTCATCAGGTAAGGTCTGTTGAGACTAGATAAATCCTGTTTATTTATTGTTCTTCTTGAATTATGATTGTTTCACTGAATTTGTTACTCCTTATATCCATGAGATATTAAATTCTAATAAAACTAGATTATCTCTCCTTTCCTATGCGATATTATATTTTCTAAGGACTCAATATTTGAACAGTTACTTCCGAACTAATTTCTTTATTTAATGTTTTTATAAATATTGAACGAAGAATAAAAAAAAAAAAAAGAACAAAACACAAAAATTCAATGAAACATTCATAACTTCAGAAGGACAAAACATAGAGAAGAATTTTTCTAGATTTTATTTAATCTATATATGTTGTTATTTTTATCTCTTAGATTTCAATTCGTGAAGAATTGGGACGTTATTTTCGTTTTGCTGTTTTTCATGCCAAAGCACCAAAACGACGAATCAGTAATTTTGTTGGTGATAACTAAGAATTTGATTGTGATGCTCAAGATCATGTACAAAACAAAAAAAGAAAAGACAATGATCAATTATATCAAATCAAAAAAAAAAGGAAAAAAAGATTTAACTATATTGTTATACAATAAATTCAACAAATGAAGAAGCAAAAAAAAAACACAATTCTTATAGATATACATACAGAAGACAAAAAAAAAATGTTCTTTTTTTTTTTTTTTTTTGATTATACAAAGGAAACAAATAGAATGATAAACATATCAGATCGAATTTGACTAATTATTATTGCTCGACGGAGATAAATTTTCTTCGTATCTTTTTTTTTGTTTTTCCTACTACACACTAATATAATAGAAATATCAGTCAATTACATACATATACAAAGAAGAGATAAACAAAAAAAAAATTTATAGATTGATATTAGATATCAAAAAAAAAAAAAACAAAGACAATCTATAGACGTATTTTTAAAGTCATCATTGACATAAACAAAAAATTTTCATATTGTTTATTAGATTTCTGTATTAGTAATAGAAATTGATTCTGATGTTGTTGTTGTTGGTGGTGGAAGTGATGATTGAGAATCTTCACCTGGTTCATCATCATCTAATGGTGTTTCTTTTTCTTTTGATGATTTTCCTCCTTTACGTTCTTTTGAACGTCTATTTTGAAACCAAACCTAAAACAAAAAAAAGAAATGTTAAATAACAATTAAAATGTATAAAATTTTTACTTGTATAACACGTAGACTAAGACCAGTATCAGCAACTAATTGTTCACGTTGAGTTTTATTTGGTTTTGAACATGAATCAAATGCTTTACATAAAATCTTAATAAATAAAAAAAAATAATAATAAAATATATTTTAATTAAATAAATATACTTCTAATTGTTGTGGTTTAATTGTTGTACGAGCACTTTTTTTTTCAGGTGCTGTTAAAGATGATGTAGATGGAAGAGTATTAAATGATCGATCACCATCATCTATTGAACCATCAGATTCATTACCTGATTTACCATTTGTTGGTTGTTGTTCATCAAAATCTTCACTTTCTGTACTACTTATACGTCGTTTATTTATTTCAGATATTGGTGGAATTATATCTGTTGATGATATTGTTGTTGTTATTATTGATTCATTTTCTGTTGATATAGGAAGTTCTATAGATGGAGTTTGTTCTATAGATTTTTTCTTATTTGATCGAGGAGTTGTTGATTTTTTTTTTTCACCATTAGTAGTACTTTTTTTTCGTGATTTTGATGGTCGTGTTTCAGGTACAACAATAGATGATGTTTTATCTTCATTTGTTGATGTACTGAGAAAATAGAAAATAAATTTAAAAAAAAAAAACTATATTAAAAGTAAAATTTATCAATGCAGATAATTTGATATGAGCGTGGTAGATTTGTATCTGAAAATTTTGTATGAAGAATAATGTAAGAGATGTTAATTATTAAATCAAAAAGCTATACTCTAGTTATAACTATTGCGAATGTATTTTAAGAATAATCTAACGAGGGAAGGTCCCCAACTGATCAATCGCTTTTGCGTCGAGGCTATGTGCATTATGTAGATACAAATAACCTATGAATATCCTTAAAAAAAGTTTGGGCTGCTAGCTTGTTGATAGGAAGATACTGCACTTTTACGGTATGCTTTTAAATGAATGCCGTGGTACCCCTCAGGAACACCAGAAAAAATGATTTTCAAATTTCCACTTGAAACAGACTTTACTGACAATAGTATTTTTGCGAAGGTTTCAGGTCTTTTGATTTGTTCCTATTCTGAAATGAGAACATGAAATCTTCTGATTTATCATATCTGTATCTACGGATAGCAACAGCAAAAAAAGTCTGAAACTTTCACAAAATATTATTCTCAGTAAGCTCCGAAAGTATAAATGAATTCTATTAAAAATAGAATAGCATACTTATTTAATGATGGTACATTTGATGAAGATGTTGGTGACATAAATGGAAATGGTTGACCAGGAGATGATGCAGTAAATGCTGGATGAAATCCATATGGAGTTGGATATCCACTAGCATAAGCAGCTGCAGCAAAAGCTGGATTAAAAGCACCTTGAAAAGCATTATATGCAGCAAAATGTGGTGCCATTGAATACATTGCAGCTAATTGTGCTTGTTGAGAATTTGTTGTTGATGTTTTACCATTTGTTGATGATGGTGGTGGTGGTGGTGGTGGAAGTGACGACATAAATGAAGCATTTAATAGACCCATTTGAGCAAGAAGATTATGTGAATGATTATTTGTATTACCATTTGTAATTTTTGTTTCATCATTATCATTTATATTATTAGTATCTGTTATATTAGATTTTCGTTTTTTCTTTTTTTTATTTGTTTGTGATGATGATGATGATGGTGGTGGTGGTGATGATATATTATCTTCATCAATACCATTTTCATTATCTATTTTTGTTTTTTTACGTGAATTTGTTTTTGTTATTTTCTTTTTTGGTGATGATGTTGATGATGAATCATCAAGTAAATTTTGTGAAATAATTTCATTATTATCAATTAAATCAGATTTTTTTTTTGATATATTCGAATTTGTTTGTGTCATATCAAGTGGTAAATTTGTTGATGGTACACCAAATGGTGGACGATAAAATGTTGCCATACCAGCAGCTGCTTGTGGTGAAAATGGTACACCAGGACCAGGTGTAACAAATGGAAATGGAAATGGATTTGTTGAAGTATTATTTGAACGTATATCATTAAGATTTGATGATGGTATTGTACCAAATTCAAGTAATGAAGAAAGTGCCGATGGTTTTTGTGTTGTTGTTTGACGTGAAGTTTTTGTTGGTGTTATAGGACGTGCTGGTGTACCTGGTTCAACATTTGTTGATATATCCATTTGTAATGGACTTGATGAACGATCAAGTGAATCAGTATCAGATGTATTAGCTGAATTTGAATCAGTTACAGGACCAGATTGAACTTGTGTATTAGTTAATGATGATGATGGTGGTGGGGGCATTGGAAGTCTTGATTGTAAAGGAAAATTTGGTGGTAAAAATTGTGAAGGTGTTGGAAATGCTGGATTAAAATTTGGAGGCATAAAACTAGGTGTTAAATCAGGTTTCATTATTGAAGATATTGACATTGGATTTGCTGCAAGACCACTAAGTAATGATAATGGTTCAGACATTTTCGTTTGTGTTATAAGTGATGGATTTGTTGTTGTTGTTGGCGGCGGTGGTATTGATGAAATAATTGTTGTTGATTTAGATTCTAATTCAGATTTTTTATCATCAGAATTATTTGATGATTTTGTTTTAACAATAGGTGAATGAGTATTTTCTTGTTCATTATCATGAATATTATTCTATGCAAAAAAAAAACAAAAAAATATATATAATAAAAACTTTTATTTCGAAACTTCATAAAATGTTAGTAATTCTAGCAACAATTTATGAATGCATATTTTCGTTAAGACTTTCACTAAAAATCGATTTTCAGTTGTATACATTCAAATCGCATAAAAATTTTCATTTTTCCTATAATAACACTTGTAGGAAATATTCAACAATTGAGAGTCAAATATAGCTCATGAAACAAGTGATATTCTCTGTGAACTCTCCTCTTATAAAGTCTATTTTTATATTTGAAACAATTAGATCATTCTGCAATGCCATTTTATTTAAATTCTTACTATTTTTAATGCTAAGAAGAAAGATAATAAGTTTACTAGCTTGGAAAATGATTATCTATTTATAGATACTGCTTTTTATATAATAAAATACGAATTTTGTAATTTGACATAATCTTTCAGATAATAAAACTTAATCGATTATAATAAATTCTTAAATACAAGATCGGTCGAAATTATTTAAAATTTTAGAAAAAAAAAATCAATTATCAATTTTCAAAAATCACTTCATAAGACGAATAATTTGAACTGTATAAGAATACCTCTTCAGTTAAATCAGCATTATCGTGATCTTCTACTTCATCATCATCTTCAGTTTCATCATCATCACTTCCACTTGAAAAACTTCGTTTTCGATAACGTGTTGTTTTTGTCGTACGACGATTACTTGATCGTCGTTGAACAGTTGAAGTATTAGTAGATGTAATAGTTGATGATTTTGATCTTGTTGCTGGTGAACGACCTTTTCTTTCATTAACAATAGTATGTTTTTGACGAGACACTGATGTTGTTGTTGTTTTAGTTTTAGCTGGTGAACGTTTACTACCATTACTACTTGTACTTTGACGAATTTTTGATTGTCGATTTGTTGATTTTGATAAAATAGGAATTGATAAATTTGGTGATGGTGATTTATCTTTTATAGATGATATTAATGATTTATTTATTGTTGATAAAGATTCATCAATATCCATTTTTTCTTGTTCATTATTAATATGATTATCAATATTTGTTATATCATTATTAATTGTTATTAATTTTTCTTCTTGTTGTATATCAGATGATGATGATAGTTTTTCATTGATTGTATTTGAATCAATTATTTTATCTAGACAAAAAACAAAAAATTTAATTAAAATTAATTAAAAATAAAAAATGCGAAAAACAAACTTTCATTTGTATTTGTTAATAAAATATTTTCATTTAATAATTTATCTTGATTAGAACATGTTTGACATAAATAATCAAGATCATTTAATAATATATCATTTGTTTTAAATAATGATGTTATATCATTATCTTGTAATGTACATTTACATTTTATACAAATAAAACATTCAGCATGATATATACGACCAAGACGAATACGACGAATTAATTCATCGGATTTAACAAGATTTTGACAAGCAAAACAACGATGAATATATTTTCTAAATTGTTTTTATTTTTAGTTAAAAAAAAAATTAATTTAAAATTTTTACTTTATAAAATCATCTTTACAATAAAGTTTTCCTTCACGTGAATAACATTGTTCATTAAGTAAACATCGACATACAAAACATCGAACACAATCTGGATGCCATAAATGATCAAGAACATTTGATATATATTGATTATACATAGGTTGAGAACAACCAAAACATTGATTCATTGGTGTTGGCATACTTAAAAAAAGAATTATTATATTTAAATAACTCATATATTAAATCAATAAACATATTATAAATGTTCAATCATAAATCTCTCTGTTCAGAAACAGTGTTTCAAATTTCTGAACGGATCAACTTTTTTAAATGAAATTTGATGTAGCTTTCGATAGCATTCTTGAAAACGACATATCATTAAAGATGTGAAACATTTGCTGATAGGGCTCAGGAAAATGCAAAACTTTTTTTTTTCAAATTCTGATTCAAATTTTTTTCCGATAGAATTTCATTATTAATGTACATAAGTTTTCATTTGGGACTCATGCTCTCTGACGAAGATCCAGGATACTGAAAAATCCTGGTTACGCCACTAATTTTACGTATGACAGTTATTTCTTATATTGTTATGATAGATGATGATATTCAATGGAGTATTATTATCATTAGTTTATAACTGAGATGGTCATATGATGTTACTTTGTACAGTTTTTGTAAATATTTTTATATGCGTTTGTTCTTGTTAAAAATTGAATAGAACAAAAATGCTAATATCTTATAAAATTAGTAAAATAGAATCAGATCTATTTATATGATTTCTTAATTAAAAGGATTAAGAATTCATATAGTTACAAGTAATGTTCATCGACATTGAGTGTCGATTCCCTTGACTGATGGAATGATGACAAAGATGTCCTTATATTTTTTTTTGAATAAAAATGAATTCAGTATAATGATGAGTTTAGAAGAAATTATTAATATTTGTAACATGTTGTATATTACATACTATAGATATATTCAAATAGTTCACAGAAAATATTGAAAGATGCTAATGTAGATGATAAAGTTTATGCTTTAGTTAATTATAACGACTAACATGGTGATTTATGTCAAAGTAATGACCATTTCTAATACGGACATGGCTAACTATGACACAGACATGCCATAAGAATGGTCAACTGTGCTGTGAAAATGGCGAATTTAGCCATAGAAACGGTCATCTGTATAATGAAAAGGGTCAAAGTTGTGCCAAATAAATGGTCAGTCTAGGGAATATTGAATTCGGTTAAAGAAGGTCATTTTATAGTAAAATATAAAATAATAAAAGTAAAATAACGTAATATTAAATAATTAGTTATGAGCGTTTAACTTAATTTTTGTTCGCTGAACATAACATAGCTTGAGTCAAAAAAAACAAAAGCCAATTAATTTACCTTCGATTAGTTTGACGTATAGGTCTATTCAAATTATTATTTAAAGCTACAGGTGAAAGTGTCATAGGTGGACGTCGACGTTGTTGCATGATTTAAAAACTAAAAGAATTGAATAAAATAACATTTGAATTAGATGATTAATATATTATATAAGATATGATGTAGGACTTGTAAATCAACTAGATACTATAGAATAATTTTTTTTTTTTTTGGTTGACAGAATACGAAAAAACAAACCGCATTTCATACATGTGTCTAATGTCAATAAAATCTTTTTGATTTTGTTTTTAGACAGGAAAAAAAAGATGAATAACTCTGTTGTTGTTTTGTTAGTTTTACCTTTTAATTTGTTTTCTTTATCGACCAAATATTTATTTTCATAAACATCTAGAAGAGAAAAAAACACAGTGACTATATATAATTTTATTGATGTTAAAGTTCAGTGCCATTGTGTTAAATTCTATTGATAAAGTTTGATTGATTTAAAATAGACCAATGAAATATTTATAAGATAGAAGAAAAAAAAAGAAATAAAAGATAATTCTTTTTTTTTTTAATTTTTATTTAACTATTATTTTTTGTTTTTCGTATGAAAAATAATCATTGAATTATTTTGTTATAAATAAACATTAAACAACAATTGAACTTAATGAACAATAAAATGACTTCAACTACTGGTGTTCAACCACAGAATAAAAATAATAATAATGTGAGTTTTCACAATAATACAATGCTATACAAAAATGAATGTCTTCTGCTTACATATAATTTCAATGGGCGTGCCTTGATGTCACAAAAATTGACTGAAAAGAAATGGCATTCCCTTAATGATCATAGCAGATTGAAAAGTGTGGAAATACCGTTCGAGATATCAATGTTTTTGCTATCTACTACAAAGTCTTGTATATTAAAAGGAAAATTCATCTTAAGTTATTTAATAAAAACAAGATTTCTCAAAGTCAAACAATATAAAATCATCCTACCTAACGCAAAATCGTAGAGTGTGTATAACGAGAGTAATATATGTTCAATACATTATACTTTTGCTGAGTGAATATCTACTGTTATCAAATGTCTTATCATTTAGTTTTCAAAATTTCCACTTATTGCAGTTATTTCAAGTTCTAATCATGATGTAATTCAATTTTATGAGTTTTCTTATCGATTAAGATTGATAAAAATGATAGGTTAATATCTCAAAATAAAAAACGTATGTTCTGATAATTGTTATTAATTTATAATATCGATAAAATTAAGAAAAAAAAAAAACTAAATCCGACCTCTTACAAATTAGAATTTATCCTTTTTGATTAATTGATTTCTTGAACAATTTGAACTTTAATTAGACATGAAAATATGACTATTTAATGATCAGAGTTTTTTTTTTGAAGTTGAAAACCTTACATCTGAAAAATTTCTATGTTCGAACATAATAAAATAGAAATTTAATTAATTTTCTTAGAATGAACGTTCAGATTTTATTAGTTTTGCTAATTTATCAAATCAAATTTATCGTAAAATAACTAAACATGGTTTTAATTTTACATTAATGATTGTTGGTAACTAAAAATTTTTTTTTTGTTTTCTAAATATTTTATTATTAATGATTATTGTTTTAATAGGTGAAAGTGGACTTGGTAAAACAACATTAATTAATAGTTTATTTCAAATAAATCTTTATCCACAACGACATATATATATTGATCAAGGTAAATAAATTTCTAAATTATTTTTCTTTTTTTTATTATTTTTTAATAGAAAATTTTCATCAATCAATGAAAATTGAATCAACTATTGTCGAAATTGAAGAATGTGATGTTAAAATACATTTAACAATTATTAATACACCTGGTTATGGTGATAATATTGATTGTACTGATAATGATAAATTAATATTAAATTATATTGATAAACAATTAGAACATTATTTTAATGATGAAAATAGTCTTTATCGTCGAAATATATCTGATAATCGTGTTCATTGTCTTTTTTATTTTATTTCATCATTAACACGAGGGTTTGTTTTTTCGGAAGAAATTATTCTCTTTTTAATGTTTATTGATTTATTTTTTTAGTCTTAAACCATTAGATATTAAATGTATGAAAACATTGCATCATAAAGTAAATATTATTCCAATAATTGCAAAAGCTGATGCATTAACATCTGATGAACTTATTCAAATGAAACAAATTGTATGTAAACAAAAATCATTTTTAGACTACAAGATGATTCCCTAAACTAACCTATTTTCATATATGCAGCAGTCGATTCATTCACCGTAGAGGTCTAAACAGGCCACGTTTTTTAGGCCTGCACAGCCTGTCAAGTTTTTCGAGCGAGTACAATAATAATGACAGACTAGAAACCAGAGGTTCAAACCAGAGATGTCCATCGCGGCTGAAAATCTGCCGCTGCCGCGCCGCGACGGTTTATAAAAAAATGTTGCCGCGACGCTGCCGCACCGCGATGACTTATAAAAGAAACGCTGCCGCGCTGCTGCCGCGATGAATTATAAAATAAACGTGCCGCCACCGCGACGGTTTTCAAAAAAGTGTTTCTAATTTCACTGCTATGACTATATTTGACCAGAGATATGGGTACTAGTCCATCAGATTTATTCAATATCAGGGCGTTTCATTTTTAAATCCTGAAATTCTATTAAATTCATACAGTTTTTCAATGTCCTCCAAAAAAAATCCTGCCGCTGCCGCGATGGTTTTTTAAAAAACCTACCGCTACCGCGCCGCTGCCGCGATGACTTTTAAAAAAATCTGCCGCTGCCGCGGTGATTTTTTAAAAAGCCTGCCGCTGCCGCGCCGCCACCGCCATCGCGGCAGCGACAGCACCGCGATGGACATCTCTGGTTCAAACAGCGCACTAGGGCTGTTACTCAACCTGATCCTGACCCGCCTGTCATAGGCATCATTCATGCTTTTCAGACTAGTGCGAAAGTTACAAAAAATTCGAAAAGAAATTAGATAACAGATCTTGTTCCTACAAGATTATCCTTCTACTTCTCTTTAATGATTCGAATTTTTTTCAATTAAATTTCTATTTAGATTATTGAACAAATTCATAATCATAATATTCAAATTTATCAAATACCTGATTGTGATATAGATGAAAATGAAGAATTAAAAGAAAAAAATTTTCAATTAAAAAATTCATTACCATTTGCAATTATATCATCAAAACAAATCTATGAAATTAAAGGAAAAAAAATTCATGGAAGAATTTATCCATGGGGTTTAATTGATATTGAAAATTCTAATTATAATGATTTTCTTAAACTTCGAACAATGTTAATGTAAATTTTAAATTGAATATAAACAACAAAAAAAAAACATCTTCCAATAATAAATTTCTCTTTTTTTTTTTTTTTAGAATACATATGCAAGATTTACAACAAATAACACATGATATTCATTATGAAAATTATCGATCAGAAAAACTTCAATTAAAAAAAAAAACATAATGAAGAAAATTATTTTAGCTGAAGATGAATTTATTTAAAACAAAAACTTAATTACATATTAAATTTTTTTTGTTATAAAAACTTAGTAATATTTTTGTACATTTTTTTTTGTTATTTATGAAAAAATAAAATTTTCTATATACTTGATCTCATCATCCAATAATATAAATGTTGAAGGAAGAAAAAACAGATGATGAATCATCATCATCATATGCAAAATGTCTACTATGCAATTTTTGCTTTCATTCTGCCTTTATAAATGTCGCTCGAGCAAGTGAAAAAGTAACTCTGATTCCGGAACAATCACAAGAAAATCTTTCGCCTTTTACTAAAGATTTCTGTGTTTCGGAATAATTCAATGAGTCTTTAAGACCAATTTTTGTTCTGCTCGCTTTGTGCGGGCCTTCAATCAATTGAAAAAAAAGCATAGTCTGTGTGACTCTATTAAGTAGTTATTGTATCATATAGACAGTTGATACATGTACTACACACACCTAATCAAGGAAACAAGACCCTTGTATCTATCGAAAATTTGAAAAGTTTGCAACTTTTTATTGCTTAATACGGTGTGGGTGTGGTCAACTCGAAATTCTCTGAATGTCTTATACAGAGAAAAAGAATAACAAGTTCAAGACCTCGAAAAAATGTTTATGTAATTCATTGAACTGTACTTTTTTTTTAATATAATACTAAAAGTTTCATAAGATAAACAAATTCTACAACTTCATATGTTCTTTTAAACAGAAAAAAATTTCATTGATTTCAATTAAATTTCTTCGAAAATTTTAACGAAAAATAAAATATTAAATAAAAATCATATTCTCAACATCTATACTATAAAAAGTTGTGAAGTTCTACTTGTATATCTTAAACAGAGGATATTTTTTTTTGCCAATAATACAATTATTCTTTGTAATTAACAAAATGTATATCTCTGTATTTTAATATTCAAAAAAAAACATCTAGACTATTTCATGATTAATTTTACTAATTGATCATACAGAGAAAATTATTCGTACATCATTACAATGTCTATTGATGGATATGAATTTGTAACTCGTTCCTGCTGATATATTCTTTCTTTTATCAATGAATACAAGAGACTGATGTCAGAAAAATTTTCTTTCTATCATTAACCAGAAATATTGATTATCGATTAATATCGTTTTTTCGAGTTATGATTAAAATACAAAATAATACATAAAAACTAGTTCTGTTAAAATGTCCTAGAATCTGAAATGCTGTCATATTCAATTATTTAAAAATCTTATCATAAGATGTATTCAATAGATAATTAACTTTATCAAGAAAATGAAAAAAATTAATAATAGATTGTTTTTAAATTTTTTCATATTATTTTACGTCACATTGATATAAAAAGAATCAAAATCATACAAGTGTCATAATATGCATAAAATCATTGATGACTTCTCTCTATTAATAAATGTATTACTTTTAAAAATAGAATTAATAATAGACCAAATTAACATAATTCTTACCTTTTGAATTGATTTTTATAACACATTTAAGATGACCTTATATTCATATGTATATGACAATTATATATATATATATTTTTTTTAATTAGAAAAAAAAAAGAGAAACATTTTGAA